TACGAGCAGGATATCTCCATTTTTTAGACAATATAGGCTAAATCTCTAACTTCCCACAGCAAATGCTCAGAGTGAAGAAAGGTACTTCAAAGGCAGTGTAAAGCTGAGTTTCACCTACATTGTGGGCATCCTACGCATTTCCTACAGCAGCATAACAGGGGCTCTACATTGCTTTCAAAAGGGGCTGAAAGAACAAAATAATGAGAGCATTAAGCTGCCAGCATTGCTTCTTGAACAAGAGGGGTCACCTGAGCTCAGTAGCCATTTAACAGTAAGGCAGTTAGGAGTCTAACGCTAAAGCAGCCGCCTGCGCACCCCTGCTGCAGCAGACCTATGCATCCGCACCTGCCATAGGGTTGCACATCATGTGCTGGGACAATCTGTCCTCCAAAAGCTCTGAATTTATGTCTAACTTTACTTGCCCAGAAATTAGATGCACTGAATTCTCCACGCATTTTCTTTCTGACTGTTCACACAGAAAATGAGTTTGGAGATGAGTGTGCCACGTTGGGGTGCCCTGTACTGCTGCCCTGGGCAGCCAGAGCAGCTCTGCGCTCGGATGAGGCTGCCGAGCAGGATGGAGAACAGGCTGTGGAGCTGCATTATGAATTGCTTGGACTTCAATACCCAAGTTGAACCCTGGATTTTGAATGATAGTTATAAACTATGGCTTGATGTAACTCAGCACCTGTGAAAATTAGGCCACCATCCATTTTTCACCTTGAGTCATGCATTACAACGAAAATCAATCAGACTTTTTTTCCAAACCAGTGTGCTTTTTACCAAGTTGACACAACACTGTGCTGTAACATGAATAATTCAGAGTCATATGCAGACTATCAACTTCAGGCACGTATTTAGGTTTTGCCGTGTCTAAAAGGTGGGTACTTGGCCTCAGCAGAATGATTTAGATCACCCACATGAAGAGCCCTACCTACCTCCTACGCAGTCAGAGCAAGATCTAAGTGCTTCTGAAGGCTTCCAAAAAACAAGTCAAAGGGTCTATGTTGGGATCTCCATACCGCTGATTACGCTAGGAGCACTTCCATAGGACTATTCGTGGTGTCGGCACATGCACTTATTAATGCTGGATTGTTGTTGCTAGCATATGGCAGTTCCCAGAAAACATTAAAGAGTACAAAATCTTTTCAATTCTGTTCAACAGGCACATAATTATTTGAATGTTACTGACATTGAAAGCATGGAGCTATGAGGGTGATCAGAGTAGTGTCACAGTTTTCCCAGCACCAAAGCATGTTATTAAACAACAGAAAACACTTCTAAGAAAGGATACACGATATTTACAGAAATAATAAATCAAGCCCTGCGCGTAACTTTTGCACAGCGCCATATGAAATGCAGCTACAAACTCGTAAATTTTTTGTTGGTGACATATAATGTTTCAGAACAGTGTAATTTTTAGCCCACTCATTTGGGGTGATCATAAATGACTGGTGTTTGCATGAAGAATGCATAAATACTGTGTCAAACAGGGAAATATCAAGACAATTTTAATGACTTGTGCATGCCTTTCTTCCATTTCTTGGTAATTGCTGATTTGCTGTGTGATTAAATCAGACTGCTCTTCAGGAAGAAAGAGGAAGAAATTAAAAAGTGGCAAACAGAACACTTTAGCCCAAAGTAAATAATGTCAGAGATTGTAAGATAATGGCTGATGCCTCATCAGTTGTGAAATAAACACTTTCCAGATTGACATTTAGGGTCAAAACACATCCTGAATTGTAAAGATGCTGGTATTAGAAAAGGGGAATTGTTTCTGGATTGTCAGACTGGCTGACACCTCTTCTTAGGGAGACTCGCAGGGGTATGTCTAAACCTGTATTAAGAGGCACTTTGGCCATCGTCGAGACCGGATTCGTGAACTGCCTTGAAAGGCCTGTTTAGCTGGTGGTAGAGGCGCCTGGAGAGAAAGAAGGACCAGTGCTAACCCTGGGAAGGCCTGGCAGCGTGGCCAGGTTCATGCAGAGCAGCTGTTGCCTAAGGTTGCCTGTGGAGCCCGCTTGGACCATGCACAGCCACCCCGACAGAGAGCAGGAGATGCAGCCGAGGGGTATGGGGAAGGATGAAGAAGCAGATGCCTTCAGGGCTAAGCACGAGCTAGCACCGGAGGGTCTACCTGCCCCGTTAATGATGGGGAGGGCTCTCTCTGGGAACAGGCAGCAGCATGGAGCAGGGCTCATCGGAGGCCGTGGCTTAGCCCCGTCTGGGAACTGGCAGGGATTTTAACAGCTGGAGCTGCCGAAGCAGCCGAACTGACCCTAACACAGCCCGACCTCGCGGATGAACTCGAGAGGGACAGAAGCGATACAAGTACATCTCACCTCATAACTATGTCGTACACAACATGAGCTTCCACTGGAAAAATTCATCAGAATGTGAACTTTGATTTCAGTGGGGTTTTAAGCTGGAATTTTTTTTTTTCCAAATTGTTACTCTGCATTTCCCAAACTTTTTCCCAAGTCTGCTCAGTATTATAAAGAAACTTGAATGTTTCCCATATGAATCAAACAAGGTTTATAGCTTTTCACAAGTTTTATTGGCATGTGGTACTGAGTGCCTGCCATAATGAAGGAAATTCATGTGAGTGGGAATATTAGAAAGAAAAAAAAGAAGGTGATTTATTAGGAGCGGTATCTCTTCTTAAAGCTGGCTTAAATTTATAAGAATTTTCCAGCATCTGTCTAAAGATTTTGCTTATTTTTGTATCCACATGTGAGCAACATGGAATACTATAATTGCACCATGCTGTTCTCGAAATGGTTCTGCAAAGATATACTGCATTAAGGAAGTCCTTTTATTAATGATACTGTACTTGGCAAAGCACCAGGAACCGTATCAGTGAGAGAACCATTTAGAAACATGTTTGTTTTAAACTTTCAAGTTGGAGTCTCCTGTTTCACTGGGGTTATATGGTTGTAGCTCTTGTGACCTTAGCAGAATTATTCCTAATTTACACTGGCATAACAGAGTAGATTCAAACCTTAGAGAGCCACTGGCAATACCAGTAGCATGAAAAGCTCTGGCTTTAGTATGGTACTTCGAAATGAGCTGGGAGATTTCAGCACTGGGAGAAGTAACTGGAGAGGCTGATCAGACATGACACCTGGAAAGTTAGTGTCATGGAATACTTAGCACCTTTGGAGATAGAGTGCTAAGTTTACATAGTTTATTTTACCTAATTACATTTTGGGGCAGGGATCCAAATCTTAGTTATGCGGGATAGGTGGAGAGACATATATATATTTTATCTATAAGATAAGCCGTCAGTAGCGAAGCTTGTGGAAGGGGAGATTTCAAAGTTTTGTATGAAAATTTAACTTCTACAGTGTTAAGCAGAAAATTTTTCAAGGTTGCATTTAATTGTTTCATGTGTACTTGAAGATTATTAACTTGGCTATAAACCACCTTCCTTTCTATATTAAGTTGATCTGACAAATGTAAAACCTCCTGCTCTTCAAAGCTACAGTAGATGCTCCTCATGGATGTACCAGTTCAGCAACAGTCAAAAAAGAAAAGATATTCTTGAGTGTAATGAACTAGCCAGTCATCAAAATAAATTATTATGGCCAAATATTAAATCTGTGAAGACAACAATGCAGCAATACCTGAAGATGCAGCCTAGTATGATGCTGTTTATTCTGAGATAGCATTCCTATTAGATTTAAAAGGTACCATGAAATTTCCAGGCACTTTTGACTGACATAGAATATTTTTCATCTTTAATTTACAGTCTTTGTGAAAAAGGAAATTGCAAAAAATGTCCTGCAATCATTTGTGTCTGATTGTGCTTCAAATTTGCTTATAATAGAAGCCCCTGAAATGGTTTACTTGCAGTGTTTCTGGATGACTAAGCCTATGTTTTAAATAACAGCATGAATGTAGGTAGGGACATAGGACTGGGAGGAAATCTCCGTTACTGAGGGTTACTGAATCCCATCCTTTTTCCTCTGTTTCATATGTCACTATTTCATTTCACACCATCTTCTTTATGAAGCAGAGACACATGTTGAAATACACTGACCTTGAGTGAAATTCTTCACCTGGGCACTTGGACTTTATGCAGGTGAAGAGAGATGGTTTGGGAGGAAAAAACATCTACTCTCAAGACAGGTTTCCTGTATTTCGTGTGCCTTCGAGACATATATGACATAGGGGCATTCACTGACCCTGCCCTCCTTCCTCCATTCCCACTCCAGCGCATTTTAAGTTTGTGAAACTTCTTGGTCGTGCATCAGTCCCTGTTTTCTTGTGTATTGAGGTACACTGGGCACTTCTGAGATTTCTAGTTAGTTCTCAAATGGTAACGGCAGAGGTGGTGTTAGGAAAGGGTAAAGGATCCATTTTTTCCAGGCAAATAAATACAGTAACTTGGCTTAAGCTCCTGTTGCAAAGGAAGGCTGCACTATCTGTACGGCTCTGAGTTTAAGGTGGCAATTGATCCACGATGGATGTCATTCTCTATTCATTTCTGGCAAAAAGGTACTTCATTTATTTTCACCTGTAATACAGTGTTGGATCATTCCACAGCCTCCTTAGTAAATGAAATGGATCTTCTCCTTTGTCTTCAATGTAAGGTTGATCCATAGTGGTAAAAAAATAACAATTTAGTATAACTTCAGCATCTTTTGATTCTGCCATTACATCTGTTAGCTCACCACTTTCCTTTACGACAGAGAATGTGATGAAAAACAATGAGACATCAGGAATAGACATACTGGTACTAAACTATTAATTTGTTAGAAAAATAACAGGGCTTTCTTCCTTTCTAACTTCTACTGTTTACACTGGGGACTACCCAGGTCTTTTATGACACAAGCGCAGACACAGACAAGTGCATCATATAGTTTATAAACTGATGAAGCTCTGTCTTATTTGATTTGTAGTCCTTATTTTTCCAAAACCAGTGTGCAGGTGGTTAGAAAACACTAAGGAAGAGATTTTTAAATACTGCTTGTTTAATCTGCTCTTGTATTTTGCAGCTGACACCAGTCTTGGAACAGATGATGCTTATGATGATAAAGGGTGCCAGTGTGATGTGTCAGTAGAAGATCTCACCCCTCCACTTAAAACTGTCATCAGAGCAATCAGGTGAGTAAAAAATATTGAACTAATAAATATTTGAGATTTCTTTAATTAAGATACTAATCAACTGCATGTCAATTAATAAAATGGTAGTTAGTTGGACTTATTACGTGGCTATATTTGTTACATAACTAATGCTAATATAGTTTATTTATGCTTCCTTTTCATCAGTATTTTATCTATGAGTCAAAATATTTTATCTGTTCTGTTATCAGCTAAAAATGTTACATGATTTGATTCAGAAAAGAAAGAGAGTAATGATGCTTGGTTTCCACTATATTTCCTGTAATCCAAATTATTGTAATCCAGTTTGATGTAGTTTTACTGAATGTATATCACCTTGCCTGGAAAAGTTATTTCCTTTAAAAGTTTAGGGTTTTATTGCATTTCTGTATTCCTGAAACTGTCTGTCATATGACTTTTATTTCAACTTTCTTCTGGTAACAGCAGAATAACATTCATTTGATTGTGCAAAGCCTTGCCTGCCACTAGCCATTGAACTAAATATAACCCCAATAATTTAAAACTAATAGTCTCCTCCTTTTCCAAGAAAGTAGCAAACTGCATTGAAACTTATAAAATTACCTGTAGTGAAAGCTTAAACTTAGCATTCACCCTCCTGAGACTGCCAAGGCTCTTCATCTTCCTGAATATTTTGAAGTGCAAATCCCGACAGGCCAAATCCCGACAGGCCAGATCCCCACCATACCTTGCTTGTACATCGACAAGCAAGGAGAGCTCAGACATTCCCTCTCTGCTGACAGCAAACCCAAGGTTATTGCTGGGGGTCACCCCACTGGCTCTGCATCACAGTCACATCAGTGCCCGGCCCCCTTCTCGCAGGCAGGCAGGCAGGCAGCAGCCACAGGGGCTTTCTGCAAAACCCTATGAAAAGATGATGTTTTCCTGCAGGGAGACTCTTGCCTTAGTTCTCTCAGCACTATGGGAAGAAAGAACCCAAGCTCTTTATCAAATAATTTCATACAGTGATAACCTGTGGGCTACTTGTATTTTCTTCCCCTTTTTCCACTGATTGCCAATGAAGACAGACGGCGAGTAAGGCTGTTTCTAATACTTTTCTACTAGCACAGACAGCTTGACAGATCATTTGCAGATGTCTGTTCCAACCATTTTTCCAGCCTGCCTGGAAATGACCTCACAGGACGTGTCAGATACAAGGTCTGT